TCAATATACTTAATCAACAGAACTTTCAGCCCAGAATTTCATATCCTGCCAATTTAAGCTTTACATTTGAAGGAAAAATAAAATCTTTTAGGAACAAGCAAGTACTCAGAGATTTTATTACCACCAGGCCTGCTTTACAAGAACTTCTAAAAGAAGCATTATACACTGAAAGGAACAACCCAGTATGACCCTTTCTAAAAATACACCAAAAAGTAAAGAGCATTAACATAAAGAAGAATTTTTATCAACGAAAGGACAAAATAGCCAGTTAATATCAAATGGCAGCAACCCTAAATTTAAATCGTCCAAATCTCCCAATCAAAAGATACAGACAAAATCTAACATTATATCCAAAGATATATATAGACTCAAAATAAAGGGTTGGGAAAAAAAAAAAAAAAAGTACCAACCAAATGGAGAGCAAAAATAAATAAATAAAAAGCAGGAGTTGCAATTTTCACATTTGACAAAATAGATTTCAAAGCTACGAGGATACGAGGGTAAAAGGATTAATGTAATAATAAGAGATCTTAACACCCAGATACATAAGACCCATAATGAGATTTAGATTCAACAAGACAGAAAATTGATAACGATATCCGGGACTGGAACTAAGATCCAGAACAAATAAACACAATAGAGGTCTCCATTTTAAACACATAAAATATGCCTTAACCACTTTAAACACTCAAAATATTGATCGGCCATTATTGAAACCCATTTTAGGAATGAAGTAATATTCCTTTTTCCCTCTTTTTCTTTTTTTCCCCTTCTTTTTCTCTTTTTCCCTCAAAAAAAAAAAAATCAATTCCAAACCTATACATCAATAAAACAACAAAATATAATTTTACCAAAAGTCCATTTACAACAGGAACAAGCCATAAGGTTTCTAGAAGTATGTCTAAAAAAACAATGTATAACACATGAATGAAAAAACATATAACTTTAGTGAGCCATAAGAACTGAGACCATCTGCATTCATACGGTTTAACTATCAGAACAAAGATCTAAGGCCCACCTACTTCAATATCACATTCTCATGAGTTCCTCAATTCTTGCCCAGGAAAATGAAGCTATAAACCAATAAGTAACTTCATTATTTTCTTCAAGACCTTCCCATAAATTGTTTACCTGAACAACAGACTGCTCAATCATCAATCAGCTACCTTCTCAAAACAACAGATTCTGAATCCAGTCACAGCTCTCTTCTCAGGACAACAGATCACTCAACTGAACAAATCCTTTCCTTATCAAAATAGTGTTTACTTGTCAAGACTTTAAGACCCAGGCCTTTATTCTATTAATCCTAAACTTTTATATTACAAACTGCCTACAAGATTCCCACACTGAAAGATCTCTTATGACACTCAAGCCCAGTTCCCAAAACCATATAAATATCAGCCATTAACATTCCTCTTCCAGACACAACACTAAGACTGTCAAGGTGGTGCTCTCTCATATGGTATTGTTATAAACTCAGCTTTGCTTGATGTCAACAGATTATTCAGTTTTTGAGGTAGACTTTTCATCAGTTGGCAGTTGACAATCCTAGAAGTCTACTAAGATCCAACAGGCACTTTCACTTCCACAGCTAAGATCTTCAACTTAGAAATACCAAATTCTCCTGAGACCTCTTTTAGCCCCTCTCTTCAGTGGTCTCTCTGCCTATAATGGTGAAGTGGGTCTCAGTATGGAGACTCAGCTCCAATTTCCTTTGGTTAAGTTCTCAATCCCTGAGTTACCCTGTCTTTTGGAAATGCAGAAGACTTTCAGTAATCTATTAATTGTCTGATCATGAAAAATTATATGCCAGGGAGAAATCTATCTCATTAGTAACAATACTAATATGTATCTCTGTCACTTTTTAAGGGGAGTCTGTAAAAGAAAGTTCCTAGAAAAGTGAACGGACATAAACTACTAAACCCATTTTTGAGGCTAAGCCCAAATACTCACAGGTTCAGCTGTTCTCACTGTACCAACATCCTTACAGTAAAAACTTTGCCCTGGGTCACTTATCAAAATATCATGAAAACGTTCCTCAGGTTGGTTAGTTTGTTTTCTTCAGGGGAGAAATTTCATCTGGGAGAGACTGCCTCCAAATCTTTCATCTTTCTAAAATTGCAGATTTGTCCAGTCTTCAACTTGAAATTACCAACTATTAGCATGAGACCCAAAGACAAATTGTGCACAAATAATATATTTGACCAACACTGCCAAACTCATGGATTTATTTCAGTCTAGGTTCATACCCCACTCCCGGTTATACTGAAGCTTCCTACCTGTATTCATACAAGAATTTTAAATTGTACACTTATTTTTCTAAACAGTATGATTTCACCAAGCATATTTTACACTCACAGTTGCAACTTTGGAGAATTTTTTATATAAATAAAATTGTTTGTTTGAAAGGTACCTTAGAATGGAAAGAAGCAAAATCCCACACATCCAATGGTCCATACTTCCTAAATGCTACGAAAAAAATTATTTAATTTAGATTCTAAAAACTGTGCTTCCTTAAAAGATTTGCTAGCCAATGCAAATTAAAAATATAAAATGTTAAAACCATTTGCCTTTGAGATGCCTTCACATCCTAATTTGAAAGAAACAGCATTTATCCCACTATTCTTTATCACCTGTGCTACTTTCCTCCCTCACCCTCAGGCCTCTATTCTTCCTTCTGCCTGCTTTCCTTCTTATCTGACCTGCTAGAAACCAAAGTTCAATAACTTCTTAAAGGTAAATTCCCTTCAGAATGGGACAAGTGCCATTCTGGTTACTTTTTAAGCTCTGGTCTGTTTATTTTTAAGCTTCTGGGCTGAAAACCACTGCCAGAGACTTTCCAAAGCCTAAACAAGATAAACAAGTATTTGCAGAAGTTAGAATTCCGTGACCTCGAACCTAGTCCTTGCACATTTTCCTTTATCAATAAATGGTATCATCAAACACTGAGTTGTGAAAATCAGAAGTCTAAGAAGTGTTCTTAACGCTGTACTGCTAAGTTCCTTTCAATACTCTCTGATTTCAAAGTCTTCCTGGCTATTTTTGCCTAGCTCCTGGAATTAAAAAAAAAAAAGGAGTAGAGATATTTTTATTGGGATCTTGCTAATTTTTAAACTACTCTAGGTAGGGAACATCTTTATAATATCAAATTTTTCTCTATGAGAACACATTATAGTCATGCATTGCTTAACAATGGGGATACCTTCTGAGAAATACATCATTAGGCAATTTTGTCACCATGCAAACATCATAGAGTATACTTACATAAATCTAGATGGTATAGTCTACTACATACCTAGCCTATAATGATACAGCCTATTGTACCTAGGCTATAAACTTGTACATGTTACTGTACTGAATGCTATAAGCAATTGTTACAAAATGATAAGGATTTGTGTAACAAACCTAAACACAGAAAAAGTACATTAAAAATAGATAATATAATCTTATAAAACTACTGTTATATTTGTGGTCCATCGCTGACCAATTGTCACACAGCACATCTTTTCCATTTTTCAGGTCTACTATTCCAACATGAATTCTAAATATCTGTCTAATATCTCTACTACTATCACCCTCCATTACTACTGCCCCAATCTAACCTATCACTTCTCACCTCAACTACTCAATAGCCTACTAATTTGTCTACCAGCATCCATTCTTTTCCCAGTGCAATTCATTTTCCATACTGCAATTTAGTGTAATATTTTCAAAGTATAAATCTAACCATGTCACCTTGCTGTGTAAAATCAGTTCATTTGCTCCCATTGTACTTAGGGCAATTACCAAAATTTCCAATATGGCCTAAAAGATTTAATCCCTACCTGTTTCTCCGGCTAATTTATACCAAGTACCTATTCACGTCTTTACTTCCAGCAACACCAATCTTTTAGTTGCTTAGCCACAGAACCTCAATAAGTTCTATTTTCCCTTTTCTTTTGCATATGATCTTCCCATCCCTTTTCATGGAGTAAAATCCTATTCTTCTTCAAAGCTCAACATCTTTAAAATATCTTTTCCATTCTCCTTAACCAGGTCAACCCATCTCAGTATATAATGTCAAAGCATTACATATGTCCTCCATGATATTTATCACAGTTTCAAGTACATATGAATGTTTGTGATTTTGTTATCATTTCGTCCTCCTTCGCTACCATGAAATATCCATGAGGGCAGAGATGATTTCTTTTTTTTGCTAATTTTCTATTTCCAGCATAATAGCGTCAGCCAAAGAGGTATTAGGAGGGAAAAGGATCAGAGTATTGTAAGTGTGACAGAAATGGCTGGCTGTCCACCATAATTCAGCTTTCGCTCCTCCAGAGTAGAACTGCTGCTAAGAAGCAATCTTTGCATAGGTGAGAGAATGTGATTAGTTAGTGGCAACACAATGTAGGCAAGAATGGTGTGTCAATCCCAGGCCCAGGCTTTTAAGTAACAGATATGCCTTCTCTGTATTTTCCATCATCTTCCACCATGTGAAAAAGACAGCAATGCCTCAGGGTGAGCCAAAGCCATAAGATGGGTCACTGCATGGAGAAAACAACATATGCAGATCAAAGTATCTTCAATTTAATTGTTATATAATTAAAAACTAAATTTCTATTATATTAAGCTTCCAACAGTTGGAGGTCCTTTGGTATACCAAATAGCATTAGCCCAATGAGTTTACAAATTTTTATCTTAATGTACTAGCCTTAACAGAAATTGATATATGCATTGGCTTATCAGTTGGGAGCAGGCATACAGGAACAGCTATTTTCAAATAGAAAATGTAAGATGCCTGTAATGCAGTGGCAAAATATTTAATAAAACTATAGCCTATGATAGCTTGAAAGGCAGATCACATGGGTTTCAAGCTTATATCTCTAGGGAAATAAATTAAAAAAACAGTATTTTGTGCTGGCTTTTATTTGTATTTAGCAGGGATATTAGTCGGTTTTCACAATGCTGATAAAGACATACCCAAGACTGGGAAGAAAGAGAAGTTTAATTGGACTTACAGTCCCACATGGCTTGGGAGTCCTCAGAATCATGGTGGGAGGCGAAAGGTACTTCTTACATGGTGGCAGAAAGAGAAAAATTAGGAAGAAGCAAAAGCAGAAACACATCAGATCTCATGAGACTTATTCACTGTCAGGAGAGTAACACAGGAAAGACTGGCCCCCATAATTCAATTATCTCCCCCTGGGTTCCTCCCACAACACGTGGGAAATCTGGGAGATGCAATTCAAGTTGAGATTTGGATGGGGACACAGCCCAACCATATCACAAGGGATTTCAAGAAAGTGGCAAGCTCATATGGGATCAATCTAATTGTCCATCAACTGATAAACGGATAAAGAAAATGTAGTATGCACACACACATACAATGGTATACTATTTAGCCTTTAAAAAGAAGAAAGTCTTGTCATTTATTATATAACAACATGCATGAACCTGGAAGACATAAATTTTGATAGGCACAGAAAGACAAATGTCACATAATCATGCTTACATGTTATATTAGTCTGTTTCTACACTGCTATAAAGACATACCCAAGGCTGGTAATTTTTAAAGAAAACAGATTTTGTTGACTCACAGTTCCGCATGGTTGGGGAAGTCTCAGAAAACTTACAATCATGGCAGAAGGGGAAACAGGCAGGTCTTATATGGTGGCAGGCAAGAGAGAGCAAGCAACAGCAGGAAAAACTGCTTATAAAACCATCAGAACTCACTATCAGGAAACAGCAAAGGCAAAACCACCCCAATGATCCAATCACCTCTCTCTCTCAACAAGTGGGAACTGTCCATCTCTTGACACATGGGGATTACAATTCAAGATGAGATTTGGGTGGGGACACAGAGCCAAACAACATCACATGTGGAATCTAAAAATTCAAACTCATAGAAGCAGAAAACAGAATGGTGGTTGCCAGAGGGTTGATGGGGTCAGAAAACAGAATGGTGGTTGCCAGAGGGTTGCTGGGGTTTGATAAGAAGAATGCAGAGATGTTGGTCAAAGGGTACAAAGTTTCAGATAGGATGAAAAATTCTGTAGCTCAACTTTACAGCATGATGATTAAAACTAATAATGTATTATATAGTTGAAAACTGCTAAGACAAATTTGTCTTAGGAGAAAAAACCAGTTGTTATTCAGTAATACCTTATATGATAGTATTTCCAAGCTTCAGTCATTCACAGAGCACCCTTGCATATATTTTATGTTCTTTTCCTTAAATTTTCTCTTCATTTATTTACTCACCATGATAAATGAAAATCCAGTATCATATGCTTTACATGTATGACAGCCTTAAAAAATACAGTAAAAATAAAACTCACCACAACAAACAAGTACGTGAAGTAATACGTTAAGTAGCTTAATATAATCATTCCACAATGTATATGTATATGAAAACAGCATTCAGTACCATAAATATCTGAAATTTTTGTCAATTATACCTTAATAAAGCTGGAGAAAAAAGAAAAGGTGAGAAGCTCAGGAAATAACTCTCTTGCCTATGCAAAGTATATTCATTCAAAGAACTCACGCAAGGTCCCACTTTTCTAGAAAATGTTCTGCGAGCACTCCTGGCTTCATGGCTCTTTTCCATATAGAAATCCTATAGTGTTCTATTACCTGAGTATTTATAAACTAACTACTATGTGCCTATATGAAAATAATCCTTTTTTATTTTCATGTTTAATACTGCAGATATATTTATATAAAAATCTATCTCTTCAATACAAAAATAATCCTGTGAACTTCCTACCAACTGTCCTCCAAGGGAAGCCCTGATATTGAGGAATCCAGAAATGGGAGTAGGAAGGAATTAAAGTGGTTGAAATGCAGTTTTTGGTGGAATTCATTTGGAAAAGAAGGCTCTTAACATCTGTCTTTAAGTGAACCAGCCAACTTACAGCAGGCGTATAGCTGTCTTAGGATAAAGATTAGTACTTTCTCTTTATTCTGTATTTGTATAGATTTGGTTTACTTGTTTTCTCTTAATAATCCACTTACACAATCTACATATGTTAGGAATTACTACTATATGTCAGACAATATGCTAGGTACTACCAATTATTATCAATAAGCAAGAGCAGCAGGTCCTTTCCATATTGTGTATGTGTGTGTATAACAAATACCAATGTATATGATGCATACATTTTAAATGTCAGGGTGGGGCTGGACTAGGTTAATTATGCCAGGCCCACTCTCCTCTAGTGACAGCCTTAAAAAAGAAACAACTCTATATATAAACACTATACAGCAGCATCCCCAACTTTTTTGGCAGCAGGAACTGGTTTTGTGGAAGACAATTTTTCCACGAACTGGTGGGTGGGGGGAAGATGTCTGGTTTCAGGATGAAACTGTTCTACTTCAGATCATCAGCCACTAGTTAGATTCTCATAAGGAGCACACAACATAGATCCCTCATATGCACAGCACAATAGGGTTCACACTCCTATGCAAATCTAATGCTGCCACTGATCTGACAGGAGGTAGGCTCAGGCCATAATGCTCACTCACCTGCCACTCACCTCCTGTGGTGTGGCCCAGTTCCTAACAGACCACTACCCCTCTGTGGCCTAAGGGTTGAGGACTCTTGCTATACAGGGACAGCCCTATCTATATAAGTGCTATATTTGTAGTCTACACTAGTGGCTCTCAATTATGAATCTTTAGATAGGTGGCAAAAGAGATGCATAAGAATCACCCAGAAACTTGGTAAAAATAGAAAATTTCAGTCTCCATTCTCAGCAATTTAAATTTAGTAGGCTTAGAATAAATTTTCATAAACTTTCACATAGATGATTCTGACACTGGTAGATTTGTGTCCCTAAACAGTGCTTTGACTCATTATGTAACTGTCCTGTATTTCTTTTATCATAGTTAAAGTATGACAAAGTATTATGGTATTCAGTACCAGTAGCACAAAACAGTTTAATAAACAATGATATCTTAAGAAAAGCTTTGGTTTTTCTTTTGTTTTGTTTTCCCACATATAATAACACATCATCAAGATGCTCACTTAGGGACATAAAAGATAAGCTGTAAGACAGTTCTCAAGATGTAGGACATGGACTACAGGTGACATGGGAAATAATATGGTACACAAAATGATTTGAAAAGATATACAGATTATTTTACATGGCACATGAACATACATGAAATAATACTGAATCACCAGAAAAAAATGTATTATCTTTTCAACTCCCTTTCAATACAAAATCCTCAGTTTTAGCTACTGGTATGTCTCTTATACCTCTCTATCATTGATTCTCATTTTAAGAAAAGGAGAGCACGTTTCAGAGCCTTTAGCAAAACAGTATCTAGCCAAAATTTAGAAACATTGTTTTATTTTTAATGCTATCATACATGTAAAGCATGTGATACTGGATTTTCATTTATCATGGTGAGTAAACAAACAGAAAATAAGTGAATTTAAGGAAAAGAGCATAAAATATAATACTACAAAAATTATGAGCATGCTCTGTGAATGACTGAAATTTGGAAATATAACACCTAAGGTATTACTGAATATAACAACAGTTTTCTCTCCCTCAAGCACACACACAAACATACACTAAAAAACATATTCAATAATTAATTAATGTAAATGAATAACCAAATGCCACAATAATTTTAGGAAGACATTAAATGTACTGCTTGACAAAGTAACCAAAATAACATTATATAACAATCGCTGTTTTTACATTTTTTACTAAATGAATTTGATAATCTCTACCTGAAATACATATATGAAATATACTCATGTTGTTGTCTGAAAGCCAGAATAATTATTATTCTACAATTCATTCCACTCACCTTATAATCCTTGGGTCGGTAGCAGCCAAGATGAAAATGATCTGAAAAAGGAAGTACAAAACAAAGTTTTAGGGCTTTACTCATTACTTAAAGGAATCAATTTTCAAGAATCAACTTTTAAGTATTATAATTTCTGTTATACTGACAGAAAAGAAAATAAGGAAGCAGAGACAATCAGCTTGCACCTTCAAGAGAATTGATTAGGGGCATTTTGTACTCCCTTCCTCCACTAAGAAAAACCAAAAGAGTGAGTAGATAATCATACATTGAAAAGATCAGCCAAGAGAGAATACTGGAATTCAAAAGAAAATTGACAGGCAACACCTAAAGCAAGGAAGAAGGAAGCAAGATGGCCTGTTCAGCGAGGATTGGTACCCAAGAGATACTTCTCAAAATAGATAAAGAATAAGTGAGAGACTCTCAGCTGTCCACATTATCACCATAGACCCCTGCAATCCCAGCCCACTAAAGAGCCCCTCATCCCTCGTGGGCCCTGAAACTAACAAAAGGAGCTGCTGGGAGATTGTACCACAGCACTGCCCAAGAGAGAAAGCTTGCCCTGGGTCCCTCACGTTCCCTGAGACCTAAGTAGCTTACAGCAAGGCACCACTGCAGAACTCCCTCCCCTACAGACTGTGAGCTGTCCTGGAGCCCAGCAGCAGCAAGGCTGAAGTACAAGAGAAGCACAGGCTGCTGCCCCTAGGACTTAGCAATAAGCTATCACAAGCTACTGGATGTAGGGCTGTATTAGTCCATTTTTACACCGCTGATAAAGACACACCCAAGAATGCACAATTTACAAAAGAAAGAGGTTTAATTGGACTTACAGTTCCATGTAGCTGTGGAAGCCTCACAAGCATGGCAGAAGGCAAGGAAGTTCAAGTCACGTCTTACATGGATGGCAGCAGGCAAAAAGAGAGAGCCTGTGCAGGGGAACTCTTCTTTTAAAATCATCAGATCTCATGAGACTTATTCACTATTCCAAGAAAACACCACAGGAAAGACTTGCCCCCATAATACAATTGCCTCCCACCAGGCCCCTGCCACAAGACATGGGAATTCAAGATGAGATTTGGGTGGGGACACAGCCAAACCATATCAAGGGCAGAGACATGACTGACTCTTTGGGACTGCAGCACAAATGAGATGCCATTCTAGAAACCTTCCCCCAATAGACTGTACACTGTCCTCAAGCCTAGCAGCACTGAGGCTGAGGCATGAGTGCCACTGGGGCTGAGGTACATGCTCCCCACCTGCCAGCTAGGGTACCATTACAGACAGCGGCATTGTCCCCATCTCCAAGTAGCAGGGCAGAAGTATAGATACTACTTCCACAACCCAAGCACCCCACCAGTGGCCAGGGGACCACTCTGCCCCTGCCTACCACAGCCAGCACTTGTTTACACCATCAGGGAGCCTGAGGCAAACAAGACAGGCCCAACTCTGCCCCTCCTCCTCCCATGCCAGAGCACATAGTTTGAGGGCCAGAAGACTGCCCAGCCCAGTCCACCACTACTGGCACTTGAACACTCCCCCACAGGGAAAGAAGGTTGGGCCTCTTCTTTTTAAAATGTGATGATTTTTAAAAAGGAGAGCTCCCCTGCACGAGCTCTCTCTTTTTGCCTGCTGCCATCCATGTAAGACGTGACTTGCTCTTCCTTACCTTGTGCCATGATTGTGAGGCTTCCATAGCCACTACCACTAGAGCTGGCATTTACCTGTACACACTGCCTTCAAGTCTGGAGACTGGCCCACCTAGACAATCTCAGCCACTGCCAAAAACATTGTGCCCTACTTGGGACTCAGAGGATCATCCTGCCACTGTCACAGTCATCACCGATGCCACATTGATTACACAGGGTACCCAGGGGTTTGAGAACCTGTCCATCTGCCTGGCCTATGATGGCTACTACTAGCATCTGAGTAAGCTAACTGGAGGCCCATGAATCAGTTCACCAGGACCAGCTAACATTGCTGCCAGCATACACCACTGTGGAGCCCAAGGACAGGCATGGTCAGTTCACCACTGCCACCACTAGGACCCAAAGACTAGACTACCTAGTGTCCAGTCCTCAGCAAAACTAGAACACAGCCTCCACTAATAATTGCACACTAAGGCAATGAACAAATCTCAGATACCACTGATGCTGTTTACAAAAAAAAAAAAAAAAAAAAAAAGAAATCACAGAGACTACACCACTGTATGGCCCCAGAAAAAGGCCAAAGTGCCCTACCCAACCAATAACAGAGATGCATCTTCAGGAAAAAGTTTTATCTCCCATAAAAAAGCAAATTCAGAAAAACTGGAAGAAACAACGGACATACCAAATGTTCGGACATCAATGTAACAACACAGGAAAAATGAAAAGCAAGGAAATACGACACCTCCAAAGGAACAAAATAATTCTCCCAAAACAGATACCAATCAAAAAGAAAGTCATGAGATCCCAGAAAAAGAATTCAAATTATTGATTCTAAAGACACTCAGTGAGATATAAGACAATTCTGAAAAACAATATAAAGAAATCAGAAAAATACTGCAGGACATGAATGAAACATTTACCAAGGAGATATATATCACAAAAAGAGACCAAACAGAAATTCTGGAAATGACTTAATTGACTGAACTACAAAATACATTTGATTTCGGTTTGTTTTTAGTTTTGGTTTTTTTTTGAGGCAGGGTCTCACTCTGCCACCCAGGCTGGACTACAGTGGCACAATCTTGGCTCACTGCAACCTCCACCTCGGGTTCAACCGCTTCTCCTGCTTCATCCTCCAGAGTAGCTGCAATTACAGGCATGTGCCACCAGACCCACCTAATTTTTTTTTCTTTGAGATAGAGTTTCGATCTTGTTGCTCAGGCTGGAGTGCAATGGTGTAATCTTGGCTTACTGCAACCTCTGCCTCCTGGGTTCAAGCAATTCTCCTGCCTCAGCCTCCCAAGTAACTATTTTTATTAGAGACAGGGTTTCACCATGTTGGCCAGGCTGGTCTCAAAGTCTTGGCCTCAACTATCTGCCTGCCTCAGCCTCCTAAAGTGTTGGGATTACAGGCATTAGCCATCAGGCCTGACCTACAAAATACATTTGAAAGCATCAACAATAGACTAGACCAAGCATAAAAACAGGATGTCAGAATTTGAAGATAGGTCTTTTGAAATAACCCAGTCAGGCAAAAATAAGAAAAAGGAATGAACAAAGCTTTTGTGATCTATGGGACACCATAAAGCGACCAAATATACTAATCATCTGTATCCTCAAAGGAAGAAAATGTAAGAGTTAAAAAAACTATTTAATGAAATAATAAATGAAAAACTTCCAAAGTCTAGCAAGAGACTTAGACATTCAGATGCAGGGGACTAGTAATCCCTAAGCAGATGCAATGCAAAACATATTTCCCATGGAATATTATAGTCAAAATGTCTAAAGTCAATGACAAAAAAAAGAATCCTGAACAACAAGAGAAAAGTGAGTAGTCACCTATAAAGAAACTCCCATGACACTAACAGCATATTTCTAAGTAGAAACCTTACAGACCTGTAATGGAAGGTAAGTTGAAAATGTTGAAAGAAAAAACCTGCCAGTCAAGGACATTCACTATTAATATATCCAGAAAAAAAATATCTTTCATAAATTTAGGAAAAATAAAGTATTTCCCATATAAGTCTGAAGGAATTCATCACCAGTAGATCAGCCCTACGAGATGTGATCAAAGGAACTCTAAACCTGAAAGGAAAAGAATGATATGTATCATTATGAAAATATAAAACTCAATGATAAGGCAAACACACAAATGAGAAAGAGAAAGGACTCATGGTACAACCACAGATAACCACCAAACCATGATGACAAACAATGAAAGAAAAAGAAAGGACAAAATAAAACCACCAGAAAATAACAATATGGCAGGAATAAAACCACACATATCAATAATAAACTTGAATGCAAAACTAAAAATAGAACAACCATAAAATCAACAATCTCACTACTGGGTATCTATCCAAAGGAAAGGAAATAAGTATATTGAAGAGATATTGCTAGCACTACTCACAACAGCCAAAATGTGGAATCAACCTAAGTGTTCATCAACAGATGAATGAATAAAGAAAATGTGGTATATGCAATGGAATAATAAATAATTAGGGCATAAAATGAATAATATCATGTCATTTGCATGAACTGGGGGATCATTATTTTAAGTGAAATAAATCAGGCATAGAAAGAAAAATATTGCATGTTCTCATATGTGAAAGCCAAAAATATTCTGTCACATAAAGTAGAATAATAGATACTACAGGCTAGGAAGGGTAGGTCAGTATGGGCGGGCGAGGAAGAGCAGTAGCTTAACAGGTACAAACATAGATTAGAAAATAGGTATACTCTTGTCAAGGAGAGCATAGAAACTATTGCTAACCACAATGTATATTTCAAAGTGGCTGGAAGAGAAGACTTAAATTGTTCCCAAAATAAAGAAATGATAAATACACAAAGTGATAGACAACTTAACTACCCTCGTTCGATCACCACGCAATCCACAAATGTAACAAATATCACAGATACCCAGTAAATATCTAAAATATTATGTATCAATTTTTTTAAAAATCAGAACCATAAAATTGTACTTTCTCACTCACACATATCACTCAAAAGCATTCCATGGCTCTATATTTTACCTTACCAAACCACCTTATCCAAAAAATAAATAAAGACCTACGTTAGTCTATATTCAGTAAATTCTTGAGTATTTTTTATGGCATAAAATATCTTCTAGGTGCCCTGAACCATACCAGAAATCAGCTGAAATATTAAAGTATTTTGTACAAGGCTAACTTCTCTACATAATGTAAGATTTGATTTACTTCAAATGCTTTTCAAAAATTAAAAATAAGAATAAATCACAGTCCAACTCCTCTTCTGTATGAGTCTAATATGTAGCATGATCAGAAGTAGCGGAAAAAATGAAAGAATGAGAAGGACATCTGGACACGGTGCCTCACACCTGTAATCCCAGCACTTTGGGAGACCAAGGTGAGAGGATC